ACGGTGGTAGGCAAACATCGTGAGGAAATCTAGACTCATACATACTTTCTAATCATAAGTTTGAAATCGCCAATCCGCTTTGAGCAAGCGTGGTGATTAATGCTCAATCAAACCTTCTCCGTGTGATAAGAGGCCTTTACTCAGCAGTAGGCACTTATGGGCTGATGATATGATGTGTGATGTGATTTCAGGTAACCATATATGAAGCATAATCGTCTTCTTTGTATTGTTAGCAGTCAGAACCAAATTAAAAGAACATTAAAGACTTAATGCACTCACAAGACAAAGGCGAGTGTAGGTAGTAAAACCTCTCTTGTAAACAGGTCTTGAAACGTCTTCAAGATCATCAGATAAAACGACACTGGCCATGAGAATGAAAGTGCTAAATTAACGGCCATTAAATTCAGCCGACCCTGAACTCTGACAAGCTGCGATTTATATATGTTGAACGTCAAGTTTTTTGACATGTGATGGCCAAGGTAATTTTATGACATTCCTAAGGTGCGGATAGAAGAATTATTTTTGCCCAACTTGCATTAGTCTCCATAATATTTCAACGGGATTAAAAACATTTTACGTAAATTCAAGCCCTATGTTATCGATCATAAGGTCTATTATATCTGTAGGTTTTCTCAACCAATCGAATTCTAAATCACAACTTTATTGTCGATTTTGTAATCATTTTATGTCATGAACAAAGCCGAGGTTAAGTCAAGTGTTAACATTCGTTTCACGCCAGGTAATATATGTACGTCGCATGCAATGCTATAATTACACCGCATTTACTGTTAATTAAATGACTTCTGATTATCTAGGTACATACATACCCTTTAATAGGTGGTTTTCTGCTTAAAGTAAGAAGTATTAGTAATTGCACACACCGCCATGGTGGGTTCCAAACCTGCCAAGTACCGACTCGAGTTTTTTCGAATTATAATACTAGACTGCACTCAGCAAAAATCCTAATAGCATGTAAGGAGCAGGGATGTTAGGAAGCTGCGTAACCGTAACCGAATCCGAAATTAAAGTTTTGGATAAAATCGAATAAGAGCGGAGTTTAATTGAGACACGGTATTGTTGTATTTTACTTTTGAAATTCCTTAAAAGTTTAAAATTCGTAACCGAATTATCCGAAATTAACGGGTAATCCAAAATAATTTCATATCCGTAACCGTATCCAGTATAATAATCATTCCTATACCCGTTATCAATCTGTATCCAAAATTTCATATCCATAACATCCCTAGTGAGGAGCAGAGTCTACCAAAGTAAGTACCTACTATACACACAGGATTGCGGGTCAGCGCAAAAATGTCTTGCGGCCCCAGCCTGAAGAAGAAACGGGGCGTTTTTAGTCAGTAAGAAATTGATACTCCACTCTAAGAGTTTTGTGAAATTTGCCCTTTTGAAAAAAAAATACCCTACAATGAACAACATGTAACATAGATCGGGCAGATTGGACCTTTTAACAGAGTAGAGATTATGGCTAACCCTTTATACCAAAATATATATTATGTTAATTATTTATTATATGGCTGATATATGAAATTAGACGTTATGATAAAAGCTGAAGTTCGAAGTTATCTTTTTTTATTTTTTATTTTCTATAGAAGTTGTTTAGCATACGATTTAATGAACTTTTGGTGTTAATTTTTTTAAACCCTAAAAGATGCTTTAGCATAAAAGCAAACAGCCATCAGATATGGATCAATGAGTTAGATATAAGTACCTCACTCCACTTTCCACATTAAATGCCTTTTAAAGGTTTCCCCTTCTAAAAAAGGAATGGAGTGCCACATTGTCGGCGCCATGTGCTATTTCCGGAGGGAACAGCTGTCTGTCACATTAGACAGGCTCGAGCTAAAACCGTTCACATACTAAAACGAAGCCTTTTTAAAATTGTCACAGGATAATGTCGTCGGTTAACCTAACAACATATTGCACACGACTTTAAAATATTTTTTTGTGTCACGTTCTAATCCAATGACACCTAAATTGGTCAATGAACATTATTATTATATTTGTTTGATCTTATCTTTCACGGGACCACAGAGTTCCGGACCTTTGGAAGGCAACTCGCAGAGGCCCGTTCAACAGTTTTAATCTAAATGTGATGGGACATTAGCCGGCTATTATCGCGGCTATCAGAGCAATCCCGGAAGTACGGTCAAGACCCCTACCAGCATTTGACTGAGATACATCCTTCCCCCGAGTCTCCTTCAATTCCTACTCTTGCGAATCTCCACTCAAGCCAGCCAATTAAGGTAAGAATGAGATAGGAGGGCTTGTTCCTCGTCACAGTTCAGTCCAGCTCGTCACGAGGACTAACCGGAGATGAAGAACAAGACACCTCCCGGGAGTCAGGTCCGTGGGGTCGCCACTGCCCAACACCTCGACACAAGCTGCCTTGCGGATTTATTATTATTACATATATTTATTAAAATCGCTCTAAAATTACATTTTTAAATATTACTATAAAATAAAATAATATTTAAAAATATAAAGGTAGGAGCCAGCTGGCAGCGGGAGCAAGGTCCAAGCTGCCGGCGGTTAGGGCTCCAGAGACTAAAACCTCCTCACAATACGTGCCGTTTCAAGGAGGACTGCCTTCTGTATGAGGCCCTTGATCCATCCGCCTAACGTCAGCCTCTCAAGGTGGTTGTCGAGGCTTTTGGGGACTAACCCGTTTGCCGACACAACTATCGGCACAACGATAGCCGAGTCCACATTCCACATGTCAACAATCTCGTGAGCTAAGTCAAGATATTTCAATTGTTTATCTTTCTCAGCTTTCACGAGGTTCTCGTCATGAGGAATGGCAACATCGATTATCGTCGTGCGACGCGCTAGTCGGTCTACCACCACTATGTCAGGCTTATTGGCTACAATAGTCCTGTCTGTGATGATAGACCGATCCCAGTACAATGTGATATGGTCTTTTTCGAGAACTGGGTCGGGCACATACTTGTAGTACGGGACCTCAGACTCAACAAGCCGGTATTTCAAAGCAAGTTGTTGATGAATAATCTTGGCCACCTGATTATGTCTGTGCATATTAGCCAAACGACTACAGCCGGAAATAATATGTCTGATGGATTCACCGGAGCTATGACATGCCCGACATATGTCAACCGTCCCATCCTTCATAATATATTTCCGGTAGTTATTCGTGAGGATAACTTCGTCCATAATTGCACTTACAAATCCTTCAGTTTCTCCGAAGAGGTTACTGAATCGTAGCCAAGCTACGGACGCTAGAAAATCTATATCGGGCCCGTGGAGAGCCCGAAAGAAGCGTCCGTGGAGCTCCTTGCTACTCCATACCGCCTTGCGGTCATTGACGCTCAGTACTACGGGTTTGCACCAGTTCTCTTTAGCCAAGGATAGTGGTGTGAATCCCTTGTCCACTGTGACTACTTCTCGATGCATATCCTCGTCCACTTTCAGGAAATGTTCCCTGAGATTGCACACCTCTCGGTTGTGAAGGGTCTTAGCGTTTAGAAAGCCTCGACCCCCACACTTCCGCGGGATGTACAACCTCATGACTGATGAACGAGGATGATGCATTCGATTTGCAGTCAGCAGCGTCCGGACTCGCCTATCGAGGGTGTCAAGTTCAGTCTGAGTCCATTTGAGTATGCCAAAAGAATACATCAGGACCGGCATGACCCAACCGTTAAAGGCGCGTACCTTGTTGCCGCCTGATAACGAACTTTTCAGTACCTTATTCAGGCGGCCAAAGAAGCGCTCCTGTAAAGATTGTTTCATGTGCGGCCCATTAATACCCAATCCTTCCGACATACCCAAATACTTGTAGGTATCATTTGAGAGTGATCTCAGTTTTGTGAAATCTGACAGCTCTAGACTTTCAGATTCCACTATCCCGCCTCGCTTTACATGCATGCCGCACACTTATCAACACCAAACTCCATTCTGATGGAACTACTAAAATTTTTAGTTATTTTTAGTAGTTCCATCAGCTCCTCCTTGTTTGGTGCAAACAACTTGAGGTCATCCATGTACAGTAAGTGGGAAATAACGTGACCTTTTCTCCGCAAACGATAGCCCAGCCCTGAAGCCTCAAGTAAAGTACTGAGAGGATTCAATGCCAAGCAGAACCACAGTGGGCTCAGACTATCACCCTGGAATATTCCTCGCACTATCCTTACAGGTTCTTCACTCCTTTGGATTTGCTTACATCCTGGGTAGGAAAGCACCGTGCTCCACTGCCTCATACATGACTGTAAGAAGGTGCGTTATTATTATTATTTTTATGTCAAACGAGCAGACGGATCACCTGATGGTAAACAATCAATGCCGCCCACGGGCACTCATAATAGCAAAGTAGTTGTTACTACAAGTGTGTTGCGGGCCTCTTGTTGCATTTTAGGGATTAAAGAATAGGGGTTGAGAATTGAGGATGGGGGAGGGGAAGGATTGGGCCTGCGGTAACCTCGCTCACACGACGAAACACAACGTAAGTGTTACATCACGCTGGTTTTCTGTGAGGCCGTGGTATCACTCCGGTCGAGCCACCCCATTCATGCCGAAGCGTGGCTCTCCCACACGTGTATTAAAGTTCTGTAGGCTTTCTGAAGGAAATGCTTCAAGATTAATGTTAATTGTGAACCGTAAAATGACACTTAAAGTGTTTACTACATCTTGGGTAAGTTTTTTCCTGTGAGCATCGTTAGTATTTTGCCGTGTGAAAAATATATTGTAATAACCCCATGTAAATAAACGTATATAAAACGATACTAATAGAAAACTGCCAAGCTAGGTATATTATAAACAAGTTATGAAACAAAATTCACATGACCTGACTAAAAATATTTCAATCTATTATCAAAATCGATCGAGGTAGTGTCGCCACCTACGTCACAAGACGCCCAGACAAATTGGGTATTAATAAACAGAACTACGCTAATAACTTACGAACACAGTAAAGTTTGAAACATAGTACTTATAGTACAAAAGGTAAAATGAACATAAAAACTTACCTTCATCGTCTTTCCCCCCCATTCCGAGCACGTACGCACTCCTCAGTAGGTGACCCATTGTTGTACTTTGGTTTACGATGCTGACTTTGTGCAAATTCAAAATTAAGCAGTAATAAACAAATTTTCACATCTAATATCTAATATGACACAATAAAAACACGATTCTATATAATACTTTTAACGATTAACAATATTAATCTAGGTTAATAGATTACCGCGCGATACGGTGTAAACGATAAAGGGCTACATCTCTGTAGATATTAAAGATTTATTCGCTTTCGTAATAAAAGAAAGCCAATGGATGTAGTTTGTATCGTTACCTCTTTACAAATGGTGTAAACTGAGCGCTAACCGAAATTATAGGTTGAGCTAAGAAAACGAACAGCGGAGATAATGGAGTAGCTAACGTAGTGTAAAAATTTTGATATTTAGATAATATCTTTCACAATATTTTTTTTAATTCAAACAACGTAATGACTTCATCTCATACCTTTTAGTCGTTAAACAAATATTTTTCCTACCACCATAAAGATAAGTAAGTTTTCAATTTATGTAATATTACTCCGGTCGAGGCGACCCATACGTACCGAAGCATGGCTCTCCCACACGTTCATGTTTCAGTACCTAAAGGTAGGTTCGGGATTTTCCAAATCCTTTAAAATTGCAGATAAAAACGATACCTCTTGACCCGTTACTGTACATACAAATTAATTAATTAGATGCCTAATATTACTACATTCAAGTTTGGGAGAACCATATGCTTCGGCATTAATGGGTCGGCTCGACTGGAGCCTACTCAGTCACTCAGTCGACTGGAGTCGACTGGAGCTACCACGGCCTTACAGAAAAGCGCCGTGAAACAACCAGGCATCGTTGTGTTTTGCCGTATGAGTGCGAGTGCCGGAGGCCCAATCCCTCCCCTCCTCCACTCCTTAAATCTCCAAATCCTGAAAAGGTCGGCATCGCACTCGTAAGGGCGGCGCTGATTGCTTACCATCAGATAATCCGTCTGCTCGTTTGCCGACCTATCACATAAAAATAAAATTGCAATATTATTAACCTATACAATATTTGAAATTCTCCATACATTTCAGAAAAATATTGAAGTCATAAAAATAAATGTAAACACAAGTCGATTCTACAGTAGCTGTCGTTCCGCGTCAAATGTTGACACAAGCAAGGGAACAATGAAGCTATCAGGCATGCGCGAGCGCAGCCGAGCCGCGTACGCAAACACTGCTACCCTGAGATATCAGTGCAAGCAACAGCGGAAAACGGTACTGAAACTAATTTTCTTTAAGATTCCATATCCGTTTGGATATGGCATATATTGAATAGTTTTATTCAAACTAAAATTATAAATTCGAAATTAACTCTGTTCTGTTTGTCTTTTCTTCACGCCCAAACTACTGCACCGATTTGTGTGAAGTTTGGTACAGACATAGTTTGGGACTCGAGAAAGGAACTAGAATAGTTTTTAAACCAAAAATCTGCAGGACGCGAATCCACGCGAACGAAGTCGCGGACAAAAGCTAGTTAAAAATAAAGTTATCTATTGAAAGATTTTTGTTTATGGAAAAGCAAGGGCTGGATTAACCACGTAGCAAGAATGGGAACTAAACAAACTCCAGTAAAAACCGTATTTTTTAAGAAAGTTAACACCGAGGGCCCTTCATTATATGTATGTATCTTAAATCTACGAACTAGCCATGCTAACCCATGAAACGGAAATGTTAGATTAGATAATGGATAACTAAAAGGGCAATATATTTATGAAAACATAATGTACTCGTATGTTAGGAAAAACCTACAGCTATTTGTAAAAGTATCTGACAAACATGACTATCTTACTAGACATAGAAATAGATTAAGTCAGCCTTTATTTAGATTAGCAAAAGTGCATAAGTCGTTCATGGGATTATGTGTTAAATGTTATAATAAAATCCCAACTGAAATACAAAATCTTAATGAAAGTAAATTTAAATTATGTATAAAGAAAGTATTATGTAGGAAAGCATACTACAAACTAAACGATTATATAGAAGATAAAAATGCTTGGAGGGTGGCTGGTTTGACTGCACAGGATAAAAATTGTTAAGGTTAAGAGGAATTTTGATCTCAATTATTAAATTATTCACCATGTTGTTAATTGTTGATAAATTGGATTTTTGTAAATGTGAGAGCCCTGTAACTTATTATAATTGAGTTAGACTTATAGTATATTGGTACTTGTGTCAGTTGGGAGTTGTCATGCTCACTCAGGAGTCTCATTGGCGGTGGCACGGGCACTGGACCGCTCGGTTCCCTATAATATGGTTGAGTTGGGCGGTGCTGGTGTACGTGTCATGTTCGTGAACGGACGCCGCCTATTGGGACTGGTCAACTCGAGACTGTCTAAAGTTGCTGTCCCTGAGGTTCATTTCTTTTTCGGATCCTTTGGTTAAACACTAATGTTACACTGTTCACACATAATGGAACTATCTAAATTATGTAACAATGCATTGTAAAAAGTGATTGAAAAAGAGTAACCATGGAGTTTCTTGCTCGTTCTTCTCCATAGGAATCTACACTTTGGAACGAGCTAATAGCTTCACTAGAGGACAGACGGACAGACTGACACATATAAAGTTAAACCTTATGATATCTTTTTTGCTTGACGTTCAAAAGTGCCCCTTTTTTTTTAGTCTATTTGAAATAAAGAATTTGAATTTGATTGATTTTGATTTTGGCATGCAATCAAAACAATTAATCTCAACAGAAAAGCCTCGTTTTACAACGTGAGTGAAACGTAATGAATAATTTAGGTACCTAACATCCTGGCCCTAGACCCTCCTGTTTGCTCCACAAATACATTCTAAATTGGAAACCCATTTCAGTGCTATTGAAACCTGCAATAATAGACATAAATAGGCCTATTAACAATTATCAATAACCCATGTATCGGAAGACTATCTCCAACGCAGAGCTTTTTTTATAATGGGACAAGCCCGCCGCTCATTCCCAAAACCAACTCCTATAAGCCAGGATCGACAGTAAACAAAAAACCATGAAACACTGGAACACTGAAGTCCGGCGCGTCCCAGGGACATGAAAATTGTCTTGGATCCCGCAAAGAAAAAAATCACAAACAACGCAAAGCTATGGAAAAATGCCGCGAAAGCACGATCGACCGTCAGATCAAACGCTGCAAGTGAAGATGGATTAGCCACACGCTCCGAGGGGGTCCCAACCATATTCATAAGCGAGCCTTGGACTGGAATCTGCAGGGGAAAAGGGAGCGTGGCCATTCTCGTCAAGCCTAGCGGTGCACTGTTAGGGCAAAAGCGGTGAGCTTCGGAATGGCGTTTTTTTTTAAACCATTAAATATTTCTCCCGCCCCTGGTAAGGCGAGAGAAAGGGTCAAACTCTTACTGAATAAAAACCTCCCGTTCCTTCTCCTGCGTTAGGCTGAGGCCGGTGTCACATTGCGCCTACCCCGCAACCCCGGCTGAAAATCAGCCCTTTAGAGCCCCGTCTGTGGTGGTCAATTGGTGGAGGTCTTTGAGGCGCGCGCGGAACGCTACGCGCCGTACGCTTAGGTCTGGTGCCCGTCGGGTCTACCCTTACCTACGATTACGGTGGCCGGAGATCGTCTCTCGGTCGGAATAGGGTGGAGCAAGGTAAAGCTTGAAGCTTAGGACAAAACGATATGGAAGACCTTTGCGAATGCCCTTTGCCCCATCTAGGGGACATAGGATTTTAAGAAGAATGTGTTGTCGTTATTTAATGATTTATTCCCTTCAACATAAAACCTTATGGTTCATACAATTGTAAGAACTAAAAACTCCATCAGCTTGTGACTTACGCAAACGGTTTATGCACACACACCCGCTACGTATCTCTGAGATTTTACAACTAGCAATATATATATTTATTATCTTAGGACTCCCCCAAGGTCGTCATCTAAACAAAAGGTAACATGTTGTATAAAAACATTTGTGTTCTCTATGATAATTATAGCAATAATCTAACTAAACTAAACTGGCAAATTTGGAGTAACATTTTATTGAATTTTTAACAGAAAAATGTTATTACAGAGTAAACTAATTTTAATTTTAATTAAAACTTATGTTTACAAATGATTATGATTATGATTATAATTAGATTTTTCGTTTCAGGTAGAAAAATTTGGTAGAAAGTCTCTGATTTTCATTTATCTATTTACTTTTCTCTGGTCACGTTATAAAGTTACTTATACGTGGTAAACGATCTAAAAGATAAATTTTTCGCATAGATAGAGGCTGAATAAATTTCATTTTTATTCATGTCCTCAGATCTGATGAATGAATTTATAATAATAGACATTTCAAAATATTTTATGTGTTCTTGACTATTTATTATAAATAACGACTAACTCACCTGAACCAATTGTAAAAACCTCTCCTAGTTTCAGTTACTTACATGGGGTATCATATTTGTAATTATTTTATTAATTTTCAATAAATGAAGTAGTATGTCTCACGATAGTTCTTGAATTACTTACTTTAATAATGTAGCTATCCATTTTAAGAATATCGTCATTATGCCTGTAGAAGAATTTATCTCTGAAATGTTTCCATCCAATGACACATAATTAGGTACTTGAAAAGTGATGCGCAGACAATGAAATAACACCAATAAAGTTATCGTGTGACAAATTCACCCAAATAACCTTGTCCACATTATGTACTTTACGAAAACGACAATACAAATATTGAGCTCCGTTTCACTTACGCAATTGTTTGAATAATGATGCCTCACAGTTTGAGACATTCTAGTAAATTCGACGTTTGGTATAATTACCTATAATTATTCATTTTGCACCTAAGCGCTTTCGCATGCCATTTGCCTATGTTTTCCGTTAAGAATTCGACGTCTTTGTTCACTTACATAGTTAGGTGTTTATTAATATTGGTTTTTCATTCAACCTCAATATGTTCGGAGATCAGATAACTATTGGTACCTTACCACGATATTAGATAAATGTACGCGCAATAATTGGATTGTTCTAACACTCCATCTACAATTTGCTCAATTTTTATATGCAACTCAATTTTATTGATCCGTTTGCTCGGTTGCATCTAAATGTCAAATCCCATAAAACATAAAGTATTATTAGGGAATTGTCGAGAACAGAAAGTTTTGTTTCGAGATAAACAAAAGAGACTTAAGTAGCACCTGAGTCATATCTGACCTTTAAGCATCTGAA